ATTGAGCTTGACAGGTTGCCCTAGCATATTTCAGCGGAGAGAACTCGAAGTCTTCATGGCCCTATCACTGTCAAAACGGGATACTCGTTTGGCACGATCAGTCTACAAATGTTATGACGTTATTTATGCGATAATATGGGTCTAGTATTTTGCGCTGTAGTAGTGAGTGCGTTGAGAACTCGAGAGATGTTTTTCCCGGAATTCAATCCTTAGTTGCGTCCGCGAAGAACCAAATGGGTATATCTTTTCGGTTGGTGTACTGGTCTGCATACCTGTGTGTGAAATAAGCGACCTTACAAGCTAAAAATTGGAACAGATGGCAACACGACCTTGAACGGAATGAGTGGGCCGATATAAGAGGTAATTCAATCCGGCGATAATGGAGCATATCAAGATTTTAATTGAAAAAACGAAAACCGAAAAGATCCAAATACCGATAACATGTAACTACCGAAAAGGAACAGTGAATTTGCTATTTAGGCGCTCGTTTGTAGCATAAGTGATTATGTGTTACGACTATCTGGTTTTTGAACCTGCGTCACGCGTGCCAAGAAATTCGTCTTCTGGAATGACAATAATGTACACATTCAACAAACCTCAACGTAGTCTCCGCAACCATAGGGCTACAAAATAAGGCGGAACAATCACCAGTCTGAGGATAAAGTGCAGATCGCTTGGCCTCAAATTCGATATCGTCACAACAAAACCGATATCGGCGGTGGGCAACCGCAAAAATTACAATTTCCGAACATAGTCCGTGAGAGTTATAAAAATAGCTCAGCAAAACAAGCAGGTTTTAGTTCTTCTTTAAAAGGTGAATAAATATGAGGATTGGCTACCACACGTGGTTGGGGAACGGGAACACATTGTTGGTAAGCTTTCCTCTAATATGTGGTCAGCATTAAGGGACAGCGCAAGCTGGGGCAATGAGTTCGTCGCTGTTATAAACGATGGTAGTTCAGTAGACGTTTGGGGTCAGAGAAGCGTTAGAGCAGGTGCTTCATTTCGCGCAATATAAGGGTTAAAGTATCAGAGCTGATACAATGAAACGTGAGACTGACCAAGAGGCCAACTTGGAAGAAGCTTGTAAAAAGCGTTGGGTTCAATTTACCAACGCGCTTAGTATCAAGAAGAATAGGAGTAGGTTAGCAATCAGACATTCGTGTTGCTTCCGAAATGTGTTGTCCATTTTCGGGCAACGACATGGACCCTACGTGTGTCCACACAGTTTACAACTTCAAGACACTTTCTCGGCCCTTAAAAAATCGTTTTTCTGCTCAGATACTTCCCATAGAATACCACTTATCTTCCTTTACACACTTATTTCGTCTCGGAATTACTTTGAGCATAAATTCCACTCACCATACCCTGTTTGTCCGCTTCTATGTATGAACGCCATGTTCAAAAATAGATCCATGCATTTTCAAGTAACATATTTACTTACTTACTCTTGCTGCGTCTGGCTTCTCAAGCATTCTCACTGTCTCATCCTAAAAGACGCGTGCATATACCATCAGCATGTCCGGTGACTACATACCTCCGCTAGCTGATTCTGCGCTGGTCTTTTTGCTCTAGCATCTCGTTGATGAAAAAAACAATAACGGCTCCCCTCAGGTCAATCTGCCAAATTTAACAGAACTTTGTTTTAACAAGGCGTTTTCGTTGGTTCGGCCATGTTAAGGTCTAAGACCTCGGCCAAATTGCAGTTCACCCGGCGTTATTCTACACGCTCAAGTTTAAATTCACAAACTGGTCCAAAACTAAATTTTGCACAAACCTCCGGATTATACTTACTGTTAGACTCTTTTTAGGGTCTGACTTCCTGCGTAGTCATTGGAGCCCAAACGTTTTCCAATTTGTACAAACAAGTCCTCGGGTTTTACAATGGCAAGTCCATTTGTTTATTCCCATAGGTTGGGAGTAAATATTATTATTTCCCAATTCAGAAATGGCCTGCCGAATAATCATAATAGCGCCGGTGGAATCTTAACCTGATGAGCCTGTGAATTGCCTAATAGCAAGATCAACAATCCACAAATACAACCTGAAGAGCAACTACGCATTGCGCTTTGTCGAACGGCCGAAACAGCCAAGCATTTCAGGTACACAAGTAGAATGGTTGAAAGTTGACTGATTTGCAACGATACTGCAACCCATCGCAAAGAATAAGCGCCATCCAAAATAGAGTGTCCATAGCACGAGCCATGAAAGGCACGGATGCTTATGTTGAACTGCGACAAGGTAGCAGATTCAGTCCCAGGAATGCAGTGTTAAGTGAAACTGGATATGATCATAGGTAGCTAGTATGAAGAGGAGGACTTTGTCAAGTTTTTTTTAACAGGTGGGTCATTGCCAGATGAACTAAGCAGTACAAAGCACTGACTTGTTGAGAAGAACGAGGGAAAAGTAAAACTATGTAGTTAAATTGAATTGTCCCTTCAAAGGACCATGGGTTGAAAAGTTGTCAAAGGCTTTGTGCGTTTATCCAAGATACTCTGTGGGGATAGTAGAAATGGAAGGTGTAAGTGGAGGGACGCAACACCTTGGTTCCGGTATACATAATCTTGCAAACAGTTTACGGGAACAAGTGGCTGGCTGGTAGGCGGTTTACGATGTAGGTCCAGCCACATAGAACAGTGTATGGAGGCACATAAAAAGTTTAATAAGTAGCCACAGTCAGCCAATGAAACGGATTGGTATCAACCGTTCGGGAAGTGGTCGGAGGGGAAGCGATCTGGCGGTCGAGGAGCGTGTTGAATAGTAGCACACGGAAGGCAGAGAGCGGTCGGCACCCGACACTAAATGCTGGCCTGGAAGAGGTGTAATACTAATAGAAAAGATTGGTTAAGTCAAGGGAATTGACATTTTGTGTCACAAGACAACAAGAGGGTTGTAAAATGTGACGCACTGGCGTGCTTGAAGTGTAACAGATACACAGGAATGTTTTAGCTGACCACTCTGTTTTTGTCGTCACTTTTGTTCACCGGGGCAGGATCTTCTGATCTATTTTGCTGATTTGGGTGGAGAATAAAAAATTTCTATTTACGCCTCCGCAATCTTATTTTTATCCCCTTGTATGGAAGCCTAGGACAAACCGATATACGTAAACCCACTGACAGTCAGCCGATCGGCTTGTTGTCTGACCTACTCCCCGGGATGTCATCACTTCCAAACTCCATGAAGTTTCGTCAGAAGTGATTTGCCGGAATAATCAGCCAGGTGGAGCTTTCAGGGAAGGTTGGGTTCAACTGCAGAGGAGCCCCACACAAAAATTTCCTAAATTTCGAACAGAGAGTACCTTGGTGATGTGAATCTATTTATTGGCGCTGATTTTGTAGTCCGGTTCTATATTTACTGTCGAAACACTGACAAAATCAAGGCTAACGAGGCGGTGTTACCCAGGGAGCGTTGGAGTCCAGGGGGGCGATATTATTGCGACTCTGATTTTCAAGGACCGGGCTCTTATGGAAGCTGTCTTCGAACGGCTGCATGTCCAGCGTACAAAAATTACTATTTGATCACCGGTAGTTCATAGGCAGATAACGGTGACTGTTTTGTGCGCGTAAGGAGAAGAGCGGAGCTGAGCAACGGGGGTATTTTAACCTAGTTGTTCCCAAAGTGAGAAACGGCGGTGAGAAAATGGGAATAATATGGAAAGTTGATGGCTGAGGCCTGGCTACGACTTGCGGTAGCAAATGAAACCTGCTTATCAGGAGGTCCGCCAGATGCATACTTCAGGTTTATCGTTTGTAGCGAACGCAAGTCAGTTTCTTATGGTGGGGGTAAACGTCTACATAAGCGAGTATCATACTTCTGCCAGCCTAGCAAGGATAGAGTAGAATACAACCGTTAAATGGCCACATACGCCTTTATGGCGACCTTCACCGCTACATACATTATCGTGGACATATACTGCAAACTCGCTAACACATATTACGGCGTAGATGCACTTGCTAAGGCTAGTTAAACATAGTCGGGTACCTATCACAGGGGGTCCGCTCATAGTGAACCGTTCAGGGCTGGTAGGACTAGGTTTTGTCGCAAGCAGTGCCCTGCCCTGAGAGTGTGCTGTATACCGGATTACTGTGGCAAAAAACCAACGGGAACGCAACCAGGCAAACGTGTTTTGATCGTAAACTTTGTCCTGGCTGTTGCCCATGCTGCGTTGCGGAACCAGTTCAAATAGATTTTGTATGCCCGCTGACTTAGCCATAGAAGTGACAACCATACGCATGTGCCTTTCAGGTTAACGGAAGCCGACGACCGGCTCTAGAAGCCTGGCAGACGCTTCGATCTTGTGCCTTATAGGGAACCATCGGGCTGTGTAATCGATGGACCAATCAAGCACGTGTTTTTGGTTGGGTCCACTGGCTACATGACCTTCGAAAACTGTTTCCAGGTTTAGTGCACGGTGTGCGCTATTTTCAGAATCAGAATCAGAATCAGAATCAAATCGATGGACCAATCAAGCACGTGTTTTTGGTTGGGTCCACTGGCTACATGACCTTCGAAAATTGTTTCCAGGTTTAGTGCACGGTGTGCGCTACTTTGGTTGTTTTACATGTAAATAATGGTGGTGTCGTAACACTGGACAGAAGAACTCAGAACAACGTTACAGCCAAAACCAGGCCCCACCTCTGACATCCTTTGATATGCGCTGTATAGTCACATTCACGAATTCACGGACTGATACACAGGATCGAGGCTTTTGCCCAAGTTTCTCGCTTCAGTTTTGTCCTTGTCGGTCAGTGGCTGTCGTTCACCTGAAAGGCACAAGTGAAAAAAGGGCGTAGCACTGCTCTTTGTGTTCTCAGCGTGGGGCAGTATGCATGCCAGCGCGAGGATTCGCATAAATAAATGTCTAATAGTGCTTTAAACTGGGTTCTAGAAGGAGCGTGAACAACTGCTGGAGGAAGGTCATTCCACGCAGCTACTACCCGAAATGAGAAAAAGTTTTGTCTAACGGATGTGTGTGCCCTGAGCTTGAAGATTTTCTTACTATGTCCCCGCCGGGTGTTTGCTGGGTCAACGGTAAAAAACCTGTTTGCCAAGCTTTGTTCAAACAGGGCGTAGGTAAGAATTAGGTCCCCTCGGAGGCGACGGTACTCCAGGGGAAAGAGATCAAGCGTCGCGAGACGCGTTTCGTAGTCCACGGACTTGAGGCCGGCAACCATTCTCGTGGCGGCCCGCTGGACACGCTCAATGAGGGTAACGTCTTTCGTACGTCCTGAGTAGACAACTTGGTTGGCGTACTCCAGGAGCGGTCTGACGTAGGCCCCATAGAGTATTTGGAAGTCCATGCGAGTAATACGGGAGAAGGTACGTCGGATCATCCGTAAAACGGCGAATGCCTTTTGGGCCGATTTCTCATGGTGTAGTGCGAAGGACAAGTTTGAGGAGACCCAGATGCCTAAATCTTTTTTGGCATCTATCCTCATGATGTTTTCTGGTCCCTTTTCACCATGCATAACAAAGGCATTCGCTGAATCCCCTCCAAACGACACATGGACGCACTTTTCATCATTCAGAGGAAGGTGCCAGTCCAACGACCACTGCTTGGCAGCGTCTACATCCATTTGGAGGGCGCTGGCATTGGAACTCTAGGATTTCAAGTCGTCCGCAAAAAGTAAACGTGGACTCGCAAGAACGTCTGGGAGGTCGTTGACGTAGGTCAGAAACAGGAGTGGTCCCAAGACGGAGCCTTGAGGAACTCCGATGGAGACCGGCGCTGGAGAGGAATAGGTTGAGCCTATTCTCACTCGGAATGACCTGTCTGATAGGGACGCCTTGATCCAGCGAAGGATTTTCCCTTGAATCCCGTAAGACTCGAGTTTGTGGAGCAGCGGGACGTGTGGGACCCTATCAAATGCTTTTGAGAAGTCGAAAAATATGGCATCCGATATGAGTCCTTCGTCCTTGGCTTGGGTTAAGCTGTCCATAAACACGAGCATGTTTGTTACGCAGGAGCGGTTTGAGAGAAATCCTTGTTGACCTGGAGATATCAGATTGCAGGAAGTAAGGTGATCTAGGATAGCTCGCTTCAGAATGCGTTCCATCACCTTGCACGGCACGCTAGTGAGGCTTATAGGCCTATAGCTGACAGGTGATAGTCGGTCACCAGTTTTGTAGATTGGCGTGACAGTCGCTTCCTTCCAAGCAGAGGGAAAGCGGCCTTCGTCAAGCGACTGACGAAACACCATGTCTCGGCTCCTATCGCGCAGTTATATCTACGCGATAATGAAAATGAGATATATTTCATTTTCACATCAAATACCGATTGCAGTAAGCTGGGACGAAGTCCCTTCCCCGTCCACCTTTATTCTTTTTATATCAGGGCTCTCAAATTATTTATGCTCGTATGACAGTGAAGCATCGGTGTTGAACACTGATGTCATGCTGTCAATGATGATAATGATGATCATCCTTTCTGGATCATCGGACACACAGAGGGAGAAACAGGAGATACCCGAGTTCGTCCTTGGTGTTCTGAAATGCATAACCACGCTTAAATAAGAAACAACCAGATCATTCAGCTGTAGAACCCTTCCGATGCCTAGCTGCCATGCCACCCGAAGGAAGCACGAGGATTGGGATACTGTCAGGTTTCCCAAGCCAATTTAACACAGAGTACGGACGTCAGAAGCTCCTATATAGAAGTGATCTCGTAGATCCGGGCGTTATTTTGTTTATTGTTGGTTGGCAGCGGGGAGCACAAGGTCCTTGGATCATGTATCTGACAGTCAAATGACCCAGCGACGCTTGCTTTTATGGTGAGGCGTTGGGGAGGGACAGCGGTGGACACAAAACTGTGCGGGAAAACGATGCTTTCCAGTTGCCCAGGCGGAGGAAGGGGGTTCGGTTGAAGTATCCCACCTTGAACCTTTGACTCAAATGTCTGTTTTATGGTGTTGGGGAGGGACAGCGGTGGACACAAAACTGTGCGGGAAAACGATGCTTTCCAGTTGCCCAGGCGGAGGAAGGGGGTTCGGTTGAAGTATCCCACCTTGAACCTTTGACTCAAATGTCTGCAGTGCAGCTAGAGGATGTAGGGTTTTGATCGGGGATGCTGCACCTAGCTTCAGGCCGGTTGCCCACTCGTTAATGGGAATCATGTTATCAAGCGATTTCCTCGCTTTCAGACATTTACCGCGAAGGAACAGTCTGTTTTTGGCACACAACTGAGGTAGGCGAGATGGCTAAAGTGGGTAGAGCGCGAATTCACTGACCGGAAGGCCCATGGTTCGAACCCGACCTCAGCCTCTCGATTTCCCCTTTCTAGGCTTGGGTAACCTGGCAGTATCCCAGCCCTCGTGGTTCCTTTGGGTGGCATGACACCGAAAGGTGCTACAACTGAACGCTGTTTTACACAACTGAAACTGGCGGTTTCCGTTGTCGGTGCGTCTCGTTTCAACCCAAGACGTCCACCCAATCAAGTCTCATAAGCACTGTCTCGCTACCTGTTCATGTCACCACTAACCACAACGATGTATCAGCTTGTAGTCCATTATAAGAGAGCATGTAGAGCGTCATAGAAACTGTCTTTGGCAGATTCAGAGCTACAGTCTGTTGGGGCGTAACTAGACACAGTAAACAAATTGCGATGGGCCTCACTTCCTCGAGATTTTCTCATAGATGTTACCGAACGAACCGCATAGGCGACTATCGACGGATGAAAAAAAATAAACTGTTTAGCTGTAGCACCCTTTCGGTGCCTAGCTGCTCGAAGGTGTGCAACAGCTTTGTTGGCATTAATCCACCCAAAGATTTTCTACATTACAACTTTCAACCAATTAATAATCTCACATGTTGTCTGCTAAAAGTGGATTCGGAACTGATTGATTGGGCATATGGATGTGGAATGGATACTTTGGCTTTCTCTGTGGGTTCTATTCACTGCATTTTGCCATGGATTCAACAGTAACAGAAAGATGGATCTAAACTGTAGACGCAGGGGAGGCTTCTTCGTTCACTCCGTCGACGTTGATGGTGAATGTGTGACAGCCTTGCTGCGGATACGTTTTCGCTTCTAAAGGAGGCGTTTGTGAGGTCGTGGGATAAACATTTTGAGGCACCAGTCATGAGAAACTGCCACATATGCGTCCCGATGGATCCATTGCTGGACAGATGGCTGCTTCATAATATAGTTCCATGATACAAGACTGAGAAGTAATGTATACGTTGCGGGCTCGTTCTCTGATCCCCAGTACTGGCTGATTAGCATGAACCTATTGATGACACAGTGGAGGAACTGAAAAAGGAAACTATAGGATGAATTGAGGAAAGTGGTCTCTTCCTAGCGGGACCACTTTTTACTGATGATCAGACTGGTCAGTACCAACAAAGGCGTCAGTTATTAGAGAAGAAAAGATGCTCATCAAAGTCCAATGTCAGAAAAGTAAGCTCTTCTCGGTTTTTCCAGCTTTACATGTCGCATAACTTTCGGATGGAATTGTTGGGTTAATGGGTAATCGGAAACTGCGATCGTAATTTTCACCCCATTTTCGGACCATCTCATAATATTTTTCAGGAAGGGTAGTTTACTTGAATAGCATGTAACCGATGTGATTCCTCGGGATTCAGTATCATTGAAGACACGTCTTCTGAGCAACACTTGAAGTTTGTTCATCAGAGACCCTTTCTGTCCAGTTGGGTCTTGTGCAGATCGCTAGCACGGCCAAGTAGATTACCCGTTGGTGGGACTAAACCATCATGATCACTACTAGTGGCAGACAATCTTTCTACCACAAAATCGAATCGAATCGAATCGTTCAGCTGTAGCACCCTTCCGGGGCCTAGCTGCCATGCCACCCGAAGGAAGCACGAGGGCTGGGATACTGCCAGGTTGTCTAAGCCTAGACAGGGGAAGTCGAGTGGGAGAGGTCGGGTTCGAACCACGGACCTTCCGGTCAGTAAATTTGCGCCCTAACCACTTGGGCCATCTCGCCCCCAAAATGGAGAATGGTAACAGGATTGAATAGTACAAGCCTGAGGAGGGAAATGTCTCAGCTTTAGATGTCAACGGCGCCCCAGGTTTCTTGGCCTCTCATCATCCTGTCCAGGTCATTTAACGTTTCGTCGGTCTCCAAGCAGGTAGAAGACTACTACTGACCGGAGGTCCGTGGTTCGAACCCGACTTCAGTCTTTCGACTTCCCCTGTCTAGGCTTGGGCAACCTGGCAATGTCTCAGCCCTCGTGCTTCCTTCGAGTGGCATGGCAGCTAGGCACCGGAAGGGTGCTACAGCTGAACGTTTTTCCTGAACGATTGTTAGACAAGTCGTTATTGGTCGGCGCAACTTCCGAACCGGAACAAGAAATCCGCCGACAAGGTCGAGAACAATATGGTCATCACTTTCATAACATAAGAACGCGTTCTTAAAACTCTGCTAAGGACAGTACAGATTTCGAAGAGGCATCTAAAGTTACTCGATAGTCACACCTCTATATCTCACAATGAGAGTTTAATGGAGAGGGATTTTGGGAACAGCGAGGAGTTGACAGTTATTAGTATGTCATATTAACATTCACAGGCGCGATCCTAGTTTCCCTCCATTCATTTTGAAGCCCACTAGCGCTTCAAACTGCTTTTGCCGTTGACTAGAAAAGCCACACCACCAACCACCTTTACATCCTCGCCGTAGGGTATCTCACACGATTCGCTACAGTATACGCGAGCTATGGAACCAATTCTTCATACCGCACGTTCAGTAACGCACACTGGAGATAACGAATATAGATAAACTCGGCTATGTATGATTTGACGTAAATCGGCTGACGTCTCAAACATTGCTTGTTTCCTGCTTTGTGAAAAACGGCCCATATTTGGGAATAATAGGACCGCAATTGCCAAAAATCTTCAGGCGGACGGTATTTCATTCGTCGATCAACCAATCGATTCCGGGACCTGGGGATCCTTGTTAGGTGGGGCGAATTGAGCAAACGTTTTACTCTTGAATGCTGACCCAAGATGGGCCTATTTGATACGACTTTATCGTTCCTGTATTTGTTTTTCTTTTTAGTTCTGTTTGTTCCGGGCATAACTGTGAACGGTGTGCATCCATCAATGCGACCCTTGAAAGAGAAGGAACACGAACAGGTCGTTAGCAAGCTGTGTAAATAGTGAGTTACTTTACTATCGCCTTTGACCTGGTAGTATCAAAGATGTATCAGTTCTTCTTGATCGAGATGACGGAAGCTACACATTCATGCTACACAGAGATCGTGTTTTTTATGCCAAGTATGTTGTATTTTCCTCTGAACTTTTGCGATTTCAGAGCTTCACTTGCCAAACATGCTGCCACCATCACTAGGAAACACCTCCTAAGTTTTGGTACGTGCATTGGACGGTTTTCAAAAACCGGGAAATTTCGGATACATGTAACAGCGTTAGATTTCCTGGCTCCTTATGCCAAACACCGCGTCTGGGTGAAAACTCCAGCAGAACAACAATTTCTATATGGACAGCATGTTCTCAAGTCCGGACTAGCTAGGATCTCCGAAGATACTCCACAGTATAGCGGTGTGGTTGTGATGAACATGAATGACGTCCCTATTGTAAGCGTTTAAATCAGTACATGTAATCATTACTCTAGGGTTTCGGTGTTGCTGCCAAGTCGACTTTGCAAACGAAGAACACTGATCCAATGACCATCGTCGTGTTCCACCAAGCGGATCTTGGAGAGTATATTCGAAGCGAGGATTCTCTAATATAAATTGTTCTCGCCGAGTTTTGTACATAAAAGTGAATACATCTGAACAGTCCAATTAACTCGTTTTACATCATATTTCGCTGGTGGAATACCAGCTTGGTCTGTTCGTGTATCGAAAAAAAGCAAGACGACATTACTGAAAGTGGTAGTTAGTTCTAAGCCTTTGTATTTGGTGCATACTCTGAACGCTGACCTTGTCCACACTGGAAAAAATGGAGGCAAACTCTGTTACTGTTCAGCCGAGCATCGACAGGTGAACCTAACTAATCTCCTCGAGTCTCTACATAACTGCCATCACCACTATCATTCTTCCAGGTTGCCTATTCACCGTGTCTACCGGTAACCGGGGTCCTGCTTTTACGCTTTGGAATTTTAGCTACCACGTGCTCAGTCGTGCGCAGTCGATATTGTTTTTTCAGGCTTGTTGGTCCGTTTGTTTTAAAAAACGACTTTAGGTTTTGATCAACTAGATCCCGAGAATCAAAATTGCCACACCTTATAGTGACAGACAACTTATGCTCTGCACTGGCTTAACAGTAGGTTTCTTTGATGGAGAGTCAGTCCAGAGAGTTTTGTAAAAGGAACATTACATTCGGAATGACATTGATTTCAGCAAGCCAGGTTGGTTTGCATTCGGATCACTCTCGTTTGAACCTCCGTGTCCTGGCAGAATTATTCCGCTCGGTCCACACCGAACAATCGGAGAGTTTATCAGCAGTGTATTATTCTTTATTTTCAACCTGTCATTGGACCACTAAAAAAGCATGTGGTAGATAAGTCAGCGGCCTTCCCCACTTACTTAGCTCGGTCAGCTGAGCAGGAACGTTAGAGAGAATATCAAGACGCATAGATCTTGGTAATAATAGGCAGTACATGACGCATCTACTAGGCAACTGTGCCATTATCAACTTCTGGACTAAATGCGTACACATGAACTCTTGTGCACTGGAAGTTTTATAGGTTGACTAGCAGCTTGAGTTGAAATGATTACATTTGGACTAATAATAAGTAAGAAATGGTCAAACGACGGGAGACCGATGGCATACTCAAGTGATAGATGATAATCATCAACTGATTCATTTACTGTTGTCTGATTCAAGCGCATAGTCAATCGGGTTCTTTATGCTGTGGTTAGCTGATGGAGTCGCAAACAGTAGAAAGTCGTATGAACTTATAGCGTTCTTCGAGACTTCCAATGTTCTACGAGAAAATTTATCTACCGCAGTATTTCATTCTCCGGAAAATTGCGCTTTGGACTCCGATTATAACCTTAGAGTTAATCTTGTGGGTGTCAGCTCAAAGTAGAAACTTCCGGGAAGTATTGATCGGGTTTACATAACGAGAATTGGCTTTTACACCTCACCTTTTATACAGCTAACTGCTGCCACCTTTTGTTTTATATCAATCAGTGACATACCTCTCCATATCTCTTTCAATCGTCTTTGAGAATCCACCGTTTTAGGTACTTTTGAATTCTGCTCACAGACAAATTAACGTTGTCGCTATAAGGAGTCCAGTGGAATTAACGCTTGTTGATATTTTCGTGGGAATGGCAGAGTCGAGTTACTGATATCATCACAAAAAGTGAACTCTATAAGCAATTTATAGACGGTATTCTGTTCACCTATGACTGAACATCTTGAAAATACCTCTGAGAGAGTGATCGGGTTGGTAGTTTCCCGTTTCCGGGTTTATTCCCTACCAAGCCCTGGGACAGGTCAGTCGACCACTCACTTGGATCACACAGTACCTCAGTTTCACCTGCTTTGTACCGTTTACATACAAGCTTAGATCGACAGGAATTCTGTTTCACCGCACACATAAAATACGCACCTTAGATTCACCAGTAACTGAACAGCTTATCAAGTCGGCCCTTATTACCAACAAATATCCAGGATTTATCAAGGTGTTCAGTCAGGCCAAATCTCACAGACTTCCCATCAGGCTGAGGGACACTACCATTCAAGGGGGATCTTAGTATAAAAAAATTGGGGGCATCACCTAGTCGTACCTACCGGGAAGCAGAAAGTGAATGAAACTAGGGGTGTCCATCCCCACAGCCTGATCAACCAGTCTCTTATGCTGTTTATCAGTTCACTTGCAGCTGCGATGACATATCGGAAGGAATAAGTAACGGAACATACCACCTACTACGTACTACTATGCGGAATAGCAAACGGCGACACTACGACAGACGCGCAAATTTGGAACCTGGCATCGACGATTGCAAAACACTGCTGGGGCGAATGTCGCATTGTGCTAAACAACGGAGGTAAATAAGGCAGTCTAGTCCCATGCTTTGCGCTAGGAAGTCATCCGACGTTGTGCACATAACTGTGTGGATTGATATCGAGAATGACAAATGTAACAACAGAGGGGGATGCCTTACGCATCCAACTCAAGTGAACTGACTAGTAAAAAGATGATGCAACTCGGAATACGACCCGTCTCACATGGTTTTACGCCGAGTCCCTGGATATGCTAGGTGTGTGAGATGCCTCTTTGTTTGCGAGATGCAGTGACACCCCCAAAATCAGAGAATCAGTCCATCATTATTCAGACACTTTCCCATATATTCTTGTGATACGTAAACTTCCTAAGAACTTGGCTTTCAGTCTAATTGAATATTCCAAGTTCGCCGATGGGCGCACGTGTTGTAGATCGGTCAAAAAGACAAGGCTTGGTTCGCACAAGTGAGACATAACATATATACAGATACAAACTATATACATTGGTATTGAAAAATCAAAAACTAAAACGTAATGTACAGGGATACAAACTGCTACCTCTAGAACTCAACCGGACCACCAAAAGTCGCTGAGTGAGGACAGAGCAAATGCTACTCATAGAGGTTCCCGTAGGGGTTATACAATGTTTGGTCTTGTGTCCAAATGTCGCAAATGGTCAGTTGCTGTCACATTATTCGTCACGTTGGAAGGGACGATGGTGTCTGCGGTCGATAGAGGGTTAGCTGAAAGGCATTGGTTACTGGAACCAAATGTTCCCGAGGGTCCTTGATACATGTAGGATAGCTGGGGTACAGGGGCAACATTTACAGGGGTCGGTTCTGTTTTTGCGGTATTTGACAAATGAAGTGCTGCAGTGGACAAACTGGATCCGACTGGGGCATATGCCGTTGGTGCTTGACCGACTAGGAGTGTAACAGCACTAGAAGCTCCAATTGGGACAATGCTAGGAGTCACGGCCGTAGCTTGGTGAAGGCTTGGGAATACGGTGCCACTCGATCGAATAGGATAGTGGCACACCTGGATAGCCGAGGAAGCGGAGGCCAAGTTGGAGTGAGGCGTTATGTTTGTGATTGAACCAGGCAACGAGCCCATAGGGTGGAGCTAAATGAAATATAAAGTAAGTTGGTTAACAACGTACGGCCTTATCGAATGGACAGTCCAGTGCTTGCTTCGTAAAATTTAATCTGGTCAGTACGTCTGTGTATAAGGGTATGAGCGTAACCTTCCAAAGTTTGCTGAATGCTCGACAATGTTTATCGATAAGTATTACACACAAAAGGGGATCGTGTATCGCATCATAACGTAAGCAAGTTATACAGGCTATTGCATGCATTCCGTTTTTGTAACACTAGCAGTGACACTTGTCGTTGTTTGATTTGAGAAGAAAAGCATACTTTTGTAACCTTCATGTCCGTGGGTATACAATGACTGGTCGCTTTGTTGTCGGCCTGAAAGCGTCCACCATATTCCAGGGAGCTAGTAATGACTGGGTAAAAGTCCGATCTTCAGACCACAGATGACCAGATTACCACTATCTACGGTGTAACCATAGTCAGGACGACGACATCGATTATGGAAGCTGTCCTGAGCTTCAGTCTCTCCTCACCTTACACGGAATCGGGGAGCTGGGTTCCTGTCCACGAATTTCATGAGTTCCAATCTTCGAACTTCAGCACCCGTGGCAAATCAACAAAAAACGGCGAGCCCCGGTGTAGGAACCATGTTGTCTATCCTGAATGCTTTACACAGCTTCCAGGTATACCGATAGTCGATCTCAATACCCAGTGCAACTGTTTAGGATACGGCATATCGCTGCACAAGATGGGTAAGACAGGCGCTGGTTTCGGTTACAAATGATAAAAAGTGAGGATACCACATGAGCACACAGCACGTTTTAGAAACTTGAGTGCTTTTGGAGACTCAGACAACCGCTCCTAAATTAATGTATGATTGTCGATGTTCATGAGAAAACAAGGTCGAAAAGCATGTTCTCGAGAACTCTTCATTCGATCACAAAACAGATAGCCACTGATACAACCACCTGGAACTAAAACATCCTTCAAGCAACACGGACATTTGGATGGACGAGAGGTATTTACGCCAGCAGGTGAACTCTCCTAGTGGGCGTTGAAGAGGACAAAGCATGTTGCTGATGGGCGGTCCAGAGACCAGTAGTGAGCAGACCAACTACCGTGACGACCCCTGGATGAGTCGAGCATGTCAAGTACGGAAGTCATGGCAATGTACAGTGGTTCAAGTTGCCACATTTCTTCACTGAGGACGGAATGAGCAACCAGCAGTCTACCCACAGCTTGCACAGCCTCGCAGTTTATTCCAACTAGTTATTAGTAGACAGAGCTCTGTCACGAAGAGCACACCAGAACCTGGTACACACCACAAGAAAACACACCATCTAGATAATTGTGAAAATCTTCCATACCGTCACCCTTTGAGAACTCCCTCATACAACAGAGTAGAAAAGTTGTGACTATTAGAATATTCGTATATTTGGCCATACCCATCAGGTCAGATGGGCCACGCTCGGAGGAAATAGCTCACCCATGATAGGTGAACTGATCGTACTTCATAGGTTGCGCTGGCCTGGCCACGTGCTCCGTATGCTAGTTGACTAATTTCCTCGAAGAGTCCCTTTTCACATAACCAAGCGAAGAATGGAAACGAGCTAGGGCGGTCAATGGTTTAGAAGCGGAGTACAAAAAGCCATTACTATCTGAACTGGTCGTTGCCATCTCCCTGGATCAGGGCTCCAAGACGGGACGCGCCAGTGATTAGAGGCATCATCAGGCATGGCCCAGCCGCGCGCTTAATGGCGCGAATTCGTCCAAGCTTTCACTTTCAATGCATAACTTCCCATCCCGATATCCCCACCGAAAAGTGCACTAACACCCCTGTATTGAGGCATCAATTATATCACCTATCGCCTCCAATGCTTAGCTACTTATCCGTTCCTCTCCAAATCATCGGCGAACGAAAATGTGCCAGTTATAACCACTGTGCGGCGAGTGTGCAGTTTTTTACAGCTATAGATGACGTTGGAAACAGCACAGTAAAACGTATTCTTTGGATTTACGAGGCATTACTTCTGTTGATTGGAAATAGGGTTTGAAGTAGAGCAGCGATAAGGAAACAGAAATAGAAATATTTGCCCGCAAGGTGGACCCAACAGAGTTGAAAGTGGGTGAGATACGTCCGTCGTTGATACATCGTGATTAACCAAGCGCGATGGAGTTCGTGTGAGGCAACCCGTCTTGACTATGATGCACTACGCCATTAGCCAGGAGTCACTCACCAATGAAACGTATACGTATGTTGGTTTCTACGGTAATGTGGGATGATATCTGCTGAGCTAATTTTCCAACTGTCTGACGGATCACCACAATTTTGTCAGGCCAGATGACCCGTGTTCCCAAGTTACGGTTCCTTGGGCACATGAAAGTGTGGCCTTCATAAGGTTCCATCAACCAATCTTATCCAGACCTACTGCAGATCCTCCCGTCATCTCAACTGGCTGCACTTTTCAGCAGCTAGTCAATGAAACTGGCTGAGCGGCGCGATCGAGTAGGAAGACAGGATGCAGCAGACATAAGCGACAGGGGCACACTGTCATGTCATACTGGCTTCGCGGATAGAGGGGCTCATGTTCAGTTTATATTTGTTAGCTTGCGGCTCGAAATCAAAAGGGTGGTTGGTCGCATAACAGACAACTCAACTGTGAAATGTAACATGCGATAGGCTGGTACCACGTCTTTTCATCCGGTTTACCACCTTAATGGTGCAGTGAACACCTACATTGGACGCTGGTGTAGGTGCCTAAAGAGTTTTTAGTGCAGCTCGGGATATCGCGAGTCGCCTGCTCCCACAGTCTGTTGAATTTCTGACGTGAGAGCTTGAAGATTGGAGAATCTGTCAAACACCATCTTTTGCCCGTTCAGGTCGGCGACGTCTGAGATATAAATTGTGAAGCATTATTTACTTACCTAGCACTACGCTTGCAGTTACACATCCAGTATTGCTACCCTGCGGTTAGGATTTTTGGAACATGTTTCCGCTGAGGAGCCTGATCATGCTCATGTCTACATTTCGGTACCATAACTCAGTACAAATATCAAGTACGGGTGCTCAATACTAATAAGGAAGTTGATGGTTCCGGTGAAGACAAACAATATTTAGTCAAATATTTGGCTGTTTTCTGAAGGTGCAACACATCCCAGAAAGTGCCGGTTCGGGAATAACTAACTCGTTAAACATTGACTAACTAGTACCGGATAAAGATGGAAAAGACCAGAAAAGTATGGGAAATTTGCCAGGAAGCGAATGATGACTCCTTGCTTTTCTTGACATGATACGGGGGTGAGATGGATCAAGTGGTTAGAGCGCGAATCTACTGACTGGAAGGTCTGTGGTTCGAACCCGACCTCTGCCTCTCGACTTCCCCAGTCTAGGCTTGGGCGACCTGGCAATATCCCGGCCCTCGTGCTTCCTTCGAGTATCATGGCAGCTAGGCACCGGTAGGATGTTACAGCTGAACAATTTGACATGATACAGTCCTTAACAGGTTGCTGAAAACCAGTTGACTACACGACCGGTTTCGCCTTGTTTGGAGCTCATCAAGTGGGCTTAGTACCCGAGGTTCTATCTTGTGTTCTACCTTATGCTTCACTCGAACACCAGACTGCACGCTATTGGGGAAATATGACCGTTTGCGAATTACGTTGGTAGTAACGGGAGACTCAAATGAATCTCGTTCACGCTATTGTCGACTGAATATGATGCACAAAAGATGCCCTTCGTATAACATTCAAGATATTGAAGTATATTTGCGGATGCCTAACGAACTGAAACATGAGACAGTCTATGAACAGTTGACTCATTTGAAGAATATCAGAAACGAGAGATTCAGTCGATTCTTTCGTTAAAACACAATTAACTTTTGTAGTTTGCTAACGATCTACTTCGTTTTTAAAGTCGACAGCGCAGCGCATGGAGTAGGGTGATGTACCGATTTTATGTAATAGCAAGTAAGATGGATATTGACATTGTTTCTGCTGCAGCGGTTTTCATTCGCTTGAACTGTATCTTGGATGATTTATGTTCTCATGGGATAAATGATCTTCTGAGTAAATCATCACCAGCATCATCATCGACAGCATGACATCAGTGTTCAACACCGATGCTTCACTACCGTACAACCCTGACTTATTTGAAAGAAAAGAATAAAGGTGGATGGGGGAGAGACTTAGTGCTAGCTTAACACAATCATTCCGAGGTGCCTACACCTCCAGACATTCACTCAGGCAATCTGGACAGAAACTGACAACAAGAACGCCACTGACATCGGTTGGCAGCCATATCCTGTAGTGTCTCCAACCAGGCGCAGTGAATTCTGAGTATAACTTAAAACGAAAAAGTCCCATATGATCCTGGGTGCGGATTTGACCAAATCACGCTTGTCAGTCTTCGATTATTCTAGAGGTTGTTTCATGTGAAAGGTTCTAAATAAAACGTTTACTGAGTCAAATATGTGGAACTTAACAAACAATACATCAAATAGAAAACAAGACTGACTTAAAAGCGATCGGAAACCCAACTCACATGATGTTGATAGAAACTTGACACGGGATGTTGTTGACCATCCATGGATTGTTGCTGTACTATGTTCTGTGGTTGTGGAGCCACGGAAGTAGGAACCAGGGAATCCGTAGATGCTCGTATTTGCACAGCAGCCAGAGACTGGTGGGAGTTAGACAGCGCTATAGCACCAGGTACACTACCAGTGACCATAGCCGAAGGAAAAATAGGATGATGACCTCCAAGGGCGGTGACAGCCTGTGAAGCTTGCTGCGTGGTGGACGTCGTGGGGGACGATACGTAAACACCATGAATAGTCGGAGCGGTGGAATGTTGTTCCTGCTGTGCAACTGCTGCCGCAGCAGCAGCAGCGGCAGCATGAGTGAGCGAAAACCGATTCGTCAGCTGTGACATTTGCGGATCCACCGAAGGAAAGACAGAAGGTGTTAGGGGTTGATGAGCTGGTTGCGAAAGCTGAGATTTGCTATGAGCCTCGATTATCTTGGTGGCTGATTCGGCCATTCGAGCGACTGCTGAGACCCGTTTACTCGAGTGACGTAACCGAGCATTTTGTTCTAGCAAAATTTCGTTCGCAGCTCGGAGGTCTCCACGCTGCCGCATCAGTTCAGACAGTTTACGACGTAAACGGGCATTTTCCGCCCTAAGTGCATGGTGCTGTCTCATAGATGCTGAACAGTTCGGTAGACGGCCAGGAATCCTCCATCGATTTCTCCCCAGTGGTGCTGGTCGTTTTAACGACGGGTTTCTCGATCGTAGGTCAAACAACTCATCGTCATAATCTTCGGTGTCTATGAATTCCGGATCGTCAATATCATCATGGCCGCTAAGATCCTCTGTCATGATGGAGTCAGGAGATGCCGTTGCCTGAGACCGTGTTTCTGATCTTTGCTGCACAACTAATTTCTTGGTGGATTTCGCAGACCGTGAGAGGATACCGGGTTTGATGTGTGGAGAGCGTGGATGAGGCTTTCGGTCGTATGCTAGACGAGATACCGGAAGATGTGGTTTAAAAGGAGATCTGGGGGTGTGGACAGTTTTCAAATTAAGTGGGTGGGATTCATTTGCAGACGGTGACGATAAGTTTGGTGCAATCTCACGTGTATTCTTTGTTATCCCAGAGGTTATGCTACTTTGAATAGTTGACCGCGCGCGCGATGCATCAGAAGGAATGATGAGCTGGGTCGAAATAACTCCTGATCTCAAGGAAGGGGCTGAATGTGCTCGTCGAAGGGATGTTGGGAGTAGACCGCTTGATGAGATGGTGATTGACTGAGACCGACAACGCTGGGGTCTTAGCGGACTGAAATTCGATGTAGTGATGGCTCCTGTGCTTGGCGAAACCGTTTTTGGGATACAAGGCACGTCACTCGTTTCGGTACTGATAGGAACATTTATCAATCCACCACGTGTGTGGTTCAAACAGTTAATGGATGACCTTAGTTTATGTTCTGTTTGGATATGACTTTCATTGTTTTGCCTTGAATTGTGGTAATGTTCCCCATCGAAAGTGTCCGACGGACTAGTGTATTCAGATCCCGGATGCGAATCATCAGTCTGGTTAGTATACATTGAGTCGCGGTGGTGGTGTTTTTTTCGTTTGATTGGAATTCCATAGGGCGGTGTCACTTCCGGAGAGAGTGCGATAGACATGGCCGTAGCGACGTCATCTTCGAAAGCATCGGGATCCTCCTCATCCTCCTCAACTTCAAGTGAGTTTCGCCTCAGTCTAACGTAACCGTACATACTCGCAGCAGAACGACCTTTTAATATCCGCTTCAGCTGGGTATACCGATCGGCATCATCACAAGTAATAGAATATTCCGAATCCTCGGCATCAGAGAATTCTTTGGGTTGTAAGGTAATTCTGGGTTGTTTGACGTAAGGAGTTTCCGCACATTCAGCGTATGGAGAATGTCGTACCTGCAATGGATAGAAAGAATTCGACTAGTTCTATCAGTAGAGAAGCGATTCCTCACTATTTCAGATAGCTGACTGAAAACAACTAGCGTTGTTTGCCGTGCTACTCATAAGCTGGAAATAATGAAAACAGACTAATCGTCCAACTACTTACCCGTATTGCGTGGACCACAAAGACAGACTATTTAAGCCGGTTTGAGCCCCAGCTGTAACAAGCAAAAAGCTAGTTGAAAGAAGTAACCCTAACAACCGCTCGAACAGCAAAAAATTGCGGTCGATGAAGAGCTAATCGAGGATGAACTATATAAGTGAGTGCAGACAGCGTTGAATCTGGCAGAAATAACACCGTGAGCCGAAATTTAGGGCAATACACTGTGGTACTCAATATATTTACATTCTACAGGCAGCCCATGGTATCCTCAAGGAGTACCATTACCCGGCCTAATAATTCCCTATATGGTTTACCCCTCTAGAATCCTGAGTCATTGCCGACTTCGTTCAGGCAACTCTGAGTCTGCAGTGTGCATGTGTGGAGCATTCAACCCAGACAGATATACTTCAGTCTACTACAATGCTGTTCTGCTATGCTCTGCCTTGAGCGCATCGAGGCCTCCGATGCCGGGCCCTACCTTCGCGGGTATTTTGTTTGCTCGCGCGATGAAAACCAAGCTACAGGCAGATAAGATGTGAGAGCTACAATCAAGTAGAGGTGAGCTAGAATATAAACTTTATACACCAAGCTATTCCAAAATATATGGAATGAGGGAAGAACACTGACAGAACGTAGTCTCGACGGTGATACCCATATTCATAAAGGGTGCAAAAACATCGTGCGAGAAATACCAGGCCATAGCTTACAATGTGTTCTCTGGCACTATCCTGCGCAAGTTGGTCCACCATTGGGAGTCAGCGTTGTGAGAGTCAAGCTGAGTTTCGCCATGGGTTACACCTACCATTTCTTCACTTTGCGTCAAGTGTTGGAACTGCGCTACTTCTTCCAACGACAAACACTGGTCGTTTTCTCACCTCAGATTTGCTTGTAATTTCGTTGATCGTCGGAAAACGTGGCAGTTTCTGGCGGTGAAAGGTGCCCATTCCAAAGTTTCGTTACTTATAGGGGCACTGTCTGCCTCCTCTCGTGGAAACGTGCGTTTTTACAGGAAATCCTTCCCTGGGCTCACCACATTCAGTGGTCAAGCAGCAGTGTCGTTTGTCGCCCTTTCTGTTTAGCTTCGTAATCAATATGCTGCTTGAGTCTTCTTTACTTGACTCTAACAACTCGGGGATCCCGCGGCTTTTGCTCACGTCGATCGTATTGTTAAGACCTTTTAAAAACGCAAAGTAATTTGAACAACCCGCTCTTTAGAAGCACCCATCTTCGAACACAGAAGTAGATTTTTGTCCATCAAATATAATGAAGCAAGTGGCACTGGGGTTGCACCAGAAGAATCAAATGCTAAACCTCTCATTTTTCGGAGGCCAAAACCGAGATAAGAATGTCAAGTACCCGGACTTTTCCACAACAGGTTTTATCATTGATAGTGTGTCACAGGTTACTAGAAGGGGTTTTTAAGGAGGATGTCTCAGCTTGGAGACAGATGGAAGTAAAAACACCCTCACAGTACTAGCAGGTATGAAATCAACGAACGATATGCGTTCAGTAGTGCCAAGATATTGTGGTTCTCTATTTATCCTATCATTTGCACATCAATTTGATTTTTAAGGGGGACTCACCTGGAACCCAGCTGAACCTATCGTTCGTCATATCCATAAGGTTGACGGAAGCTCTGGATTGCGCCTACCTATGAGCCCCAAGAAGGGCGAAATCGGTTGCGAGCTGTCGAAGAGTTTCCAGCAACCTTTTGAGTATTGTGTCTATAAGGCTGTTACTTTTACTAACGAATAATTTTTAGCGCACTAGTTCATCAGATTGCTAATAGATCCATACTGCAGCTGACTAGTGTGGCTGAAAGTGAGGGAAGCAATATCAATGAATCTACAAATCAAACGGAGGATCACCTGGCCTCCAAGAATGTAAATTGCGCTACATCGAGAGGCTGCGTCCCACAGTTGAAATGGGTTAACCTGCTTTCACACAGTTGGCAACACAGTCACACTCTAGTGCAAGATTAAAACTTACTCCAGATAGGATTCGATGCTGCTTGGCGGCAGCCGTAGCCGCGGCAGCGGCCATAACAGCAGCAGTCATCGTAACGGCGGTATTGGGCGAGAGACTGGGGCGGCCTGGATCGGCTGGTGGCGACTGTGCTGCAGACTGGCTTGATGGGTCACCCGTTGTAGTATCGTCCGATGCCCCTAGATGGGAAGTAGCTCGAGAGGACACCTCCGATTGATGCTGGTTCTTTCGGGCAAGTTGATAGAATTTGGCTGACCGGGTGACGGCTTGCGTGGCGACCACTGCCGCTGCTGCAGCTGCCTGGGCAGCGGAGGCGACAGTGGTTGCAACACTGGAGAAGAAAGCATCAGATGTGAAAGCTCTACTTACAACCCATTGTACGTGTATCAGTGGGAAAGTCTTTACAAACGGTGCGGTGCCATACGAATTCCGCATCCATAAGGCACTTCTTGTTCATCTACCGAGCCTCCGTCCTCCACATAGTTCTAGATGCCACAGTTTGGTTCATTGACGATGGTAGAGGGTATTGGGGGTACCGGACTCGTCATAGGAACTGATAGGTGATATAAATGCCCTGTTCGATTTGAGGTCTCGGGAGACACTTTTTGCCCATACCAAGTAGGTTTTAATTCAACATCGCAACCGAACGCGAAGTTTCCGCTGGCGTCTATTATCGCTATTGCAATACCTCTTTCATTTTACCCGGAAAAAATAGTCTGAATTTTCACATTACATAGGCGTCTTTGAAAGATTTCAACGTGCATGGAGAAAAGGGCTTTATGAGTTAAAACACTTACATATGAAGTGTGTGGTATAACTAGCGTCATTCAAAATTACTCGTCCGATTTCGCAAGGAATCGGAAACATGCTTCAGCAGTCTTTTTTCAGACAGCGCGTTCGGTAACACTTCGAACCGATAGATAGAGATAGTCTCCAACTTTACAGAGATAGGCTGTGGGTAGTGTTGAAAATGATCAATTGTGCACGTCGCTCAGGTTGTGGCTTATCAGGTAGGGTGGGTTGGTCACGTGATACCTTACACCGTACAATCACCGACCAAACTTGCGCACATGGTGGACACGAACTAAATTTTTTTGGGTTCAGTCAACGCGACTTATTGGTCTAATAGGTGATCGAGATTCCCGACGAATGTCTCTTGGTACAGATACGAAGCCAATTCAGTTCGAAAATTATCAATATCAACAAACAATTACACAAACCAGTTTAAGATCAACACAGAAGTGATTCACTAGGAGTATCAACTTCCACTCTTCACTTATTCATTAGCTTGCGCACAAAGGTAGTCTGTATGCTTGTACGAGGGCCTGCATTGTACTTTATTTCAGTGTCGTAGTGAATTCCCGCTGCGAATCCACCACACAGACAACACGTGCTTTTAAATTACAGTTCCAAGAGTCTATCAAAGCGGGCCCATAACTTATGGTAAAAAATGAGCCATAAAAACCTCTGCTGTTGAACTGAGCGGCTGGTCCTTGAGTGCCGAAATTAAGCACCTGTAATGTCGAGCGTTGCTTTCCATAAGACTTCATCCAACAGGGTTGTATGAGAATGCTCGCTTACTGGGACCCATGGGATCCATCTTAATATTTCAATATATCAAGAACTTTCATACATCAACTCTTCTGCTTCCCACTCATCGGCCCATCCTGGTTGTTCACACTAGGCCACTTGGTGACAAAAACTGATCGCTCCCTTATAACGGCTGTCTAAGCAGTGATGTTCGGATTAGGCAGGGGTACGTGGCAAATACAAGATTATTGAATAGGAAATTAGTTTTCTTTTCCGGTAATATAAGTGCATATGACCTTGAAAGACAGACTCCCCAATCTGACAAAGATACGCAACTCACATTTTCGAGGATACAGCACTGACATACCTTAGGCGTTTTCGGTGAACACTGTAGTCCACGATAGTCCCCTCAAATAATCAATAGTTGACCTCATTTACTTACTAACACAAGTTGCTATTTCTATAAGCATCCCATAACGAGAGAATAGACTTTCGATGTTCAATGGTTCATCACGCTGAATTCCAGGATATGAGAGCAAGGTTGCAACAAACGTTAGTTCATCCAGAAAATGGTCTAGAACCTAGGGTGTGGAATTCACGTGAGCTAATGCATCTATATCACATGAGCAAATTACGGATTGCTAAATTGGTTGCATGGAGAAACGATATGACCTCTGATAAGAGAACGTGTTGAATCTCCACAGGCCTCTGCGTTCTTGTCCATCGATAATTTCCTTCGAGTTTGCAGTGGCATCGGTAGCAGCACAATCAGATCCGGCTGAGACAGCTATGATCTATCAACTATGCGCAGATGCCCATTGGTCCAACTAGTGTTGAACAGCAAATACCTTCCACAGATCAGCCAACCATTCCACCTCACACACAATTAGAGCCAACATGGCACATCGTTTTTTATAATTAGCTGCGTCTAACAACGATCACGCCTCGAACAGCTCTTGTTGCAGAAGAGGTACACTGCATATAGGTGACCGGGAGGAATATCACACCAATGGTCATCATGCCATGCGAAAATGTCTCTAAAAGACTAGCCACGACACCAATGTTGACCGCTGGCATCAGCCTGCTGAGTTTCACGTATCATCTGGCTGGGGCACTAACTGTGGTTCAAATCACATGAACCAGCTGAAGATTAAAGGACAGTCAGTGTGAAACCCTCAGGGATACCAAAATATCTCCTCTTCAAAAGGGTCCTCGATATTACTTGTAAATGACACGTTCTGCACTTGGTGAATGAAAACTCGGTTGTGTGCGGGCGTTCGTGTAACAACTTTTGGGTGCAATGACTTTCTCGTTTGAACCGGAGTAAATGATTCAGACATTCAACAGCATTGTTCTCACGTACAGAAGATGCATACCAGTGGGCCAACATTATGATCGTGCGCAACAGCATCTGGATCACCACGAACCTGGCGACACTTCAGCAAGAACCGCCTAATAAACAGCTATGAGAGAAATATCTTTTATCTAGCAGCTGAACATCTCTGTGCCAACTACCTGAATACGACACTGGATATATGGTTTTGTATGACAATCCCTAGTGTCAGATCAGTCGTTCCTTTAGTGTGCATCACCATTCTAATATGGCTGAGCTAGCTCGGTTTTTGGACATCGTGACAGAGTGGGAGAAATATACAACCAAACATGGAAATGCGGTATCGTCCGTAGCTTTACCCGTTCTCTGCTCTGAGCGTGTAAAGCGTGTATTGCAACCGTTCAGCGGTTACGTGCTAAACCAGGGGATCTAGTTGAACATATCCACAAGAGTGGGTGCGAGATGGCCCAAGTGGTCAGAGCGCGCCGTTCTCTGCAGCGTGTAAAGCGTGTATTGCAACCGTTCAGCGGTTACGTGCTAAACCAGGGGATCTAGTTGAACATATCCACAAGAGTGAGTGGGAGATGGCCCAAGTGGTCAGAGCGCGAATTCACCGACCGGAAGGTTCGTGGTTCGAACTTGACAGCTGTCTCTCATCATCATCAAAGACAGCAACATCGGTGTTGGCACTGATGCTTCACTGCCGTACAACCATAAAGTTCGTTTAGTTATATATATATAATTGTATTAAAAGCCCTACAGTGAAGAGAACAGAAAAAGAGTGG